CCATGGAAGGAGCTGGTCTCTTGTAGCTGTGCTAGGTCCTTTCTTGGATGAGTAACGCTGTGCTTGCAGCTCCTCCAGTAAGACCCTGTGTGCTTCCCTTTAGGAAGTGTTGCTGAAGAGGGCAGCAGACCTTGTGGAAGCCTTGTACGGGATGCCTCACAACAACCAGGTAGGCGGATCCTGGCTCCATTTTTCTACCCCTTCCCTACAACCAGCATCCTCAGCTCAGACAGGCAACATGGGCTTCCTAGGCACACAAGTGCCTTGCGATAGCTCCATAGCCATGCCTCACACTAAGTATTTATGTAGAAAAAGACAAGTTGAGGAGGGTGGTCTACAAAACAGGGGGTGTCTTTGAGGTTCTACGGTATTCAGTAGTGGGTGAGGTGCTTTATGTACTCCTGGGGTGGGCGGGGGTTTGTGGGCATCCCATAGCTTGTTCTTGCAGGTCGTAAAGCCCCAGGGAAGACATACTCATTTCCTCTGGAGGTGGCCCAGTTCTTTAATTCTGAGTCTGCTGCCTTCTGCCTGTTCCAGGGTTTGGGGCTACAGGTCTAAGGACAAGATATAGCCACTTAGAAGCATCCTTTGAGTATCTTCCTAAGGCTTTTGTCATAGTCTGGGCCATACAATTGTTGCTTGCCCCACAGTGCATGGGATGGGATATGGCTGTCGGAACCTAGTCTCACATGACATCTTTGGCTTATACATGTGTTGTTGTTGCTCTAGGAGATCATCCTGAAGAGAGCAGCTGACATCGCTGAGGCATTGTACAGCGTTCCCCGCAATCACAACCAGATCCCCACATTGGGCAACACTCCGGCGCACACTGGCATGATGGGCGTGAACTCCTTCAGCAGCCAGCTAGCTGTTAACGTGTCAGAGACCTCACAAGCCAATGACCAAGGTAGGCCGCTGTGCCAGGAGGACCATTCCCTGGCCCCTTCCCCAGGGTGGGTTGAGGCCATTAGCTGCAGGTGGAGGTGTTGGGGCCCAGCTGGGGAGTGCTGGTCACATTCCATGCCCTTAGGCATGGCTGGTTCCTTCTTGCAGGGAAGACCTTGCCGCACATCTTCCAGCTGTACTGGGCAGAGAACACACTCAGAGGGCCCAGTCCTAGTGACAGTAGCTCCATCGGCTGCCACCCAGCTCCCTGGTATTGCTAGAAGTGTCCCTTAGCTTATTTGTAAGTGACTCTGTGTTCTTTGACAAGAATGGGCAGAGCCATAGGGCAGCTATAATGTAGGAAGCCAGGAGGAGCCTTCTTGGATGTGTCATGGGTGGTATCTGGGTTCCCATCCTGGTCTGGATCCATGGATAAAAACCATCCATTCCCCTCCCCCCCCATGGTGTACCTTATCCTATAGAACAGCGACCAGGTCTGTTGAGGTCACAATCTGGTGTCCTTTGAGCTGGTTCTTTGAGCCCAGTTTAGTTCACATCCTCTATAAAAACAACTCAGGCAGCCATCTCAGAGCCACCCCACTGTACTGCTGGCTTTGTTTCCAGTTGCCCACACTCCACAGCAGGCAAGGAGCTATGGCGCCCACCCCACCCTTGCTCACAGAGACAGCAGCTGTGAAAATGAAGACCCCAAACAGTCTTTCCAGGGGAGTTACGGCCACAAACAAGCTCTCTTTGTCAGCCATGGCATTTGAAGGTCTGTTGAGGCTGAAAGTTCAGAGAGAGAGTGGGGTAGCAGGTCAGGGATCCAAGCTGTTGATAATTGCTTCTAAAGCAGTGTGTGGAAACAGCTGAAGGTTAGATCGAAGCATGCTTTGGCTGGCCGTCGAAGCCAACAGAGATGGAACAGGTCTCACCAGTGGTAGGGTTGGCATGATAAGATTACCCAAGCTGGCTAGAGTCACCAGGGCGAGAGGAAGCATAAAGTCAATTAAAAATGTTGAATATATGATATATATAGATTCTCGGGGAAACCCCCCCCAAGTGTCTGTCACTGATAATAATGTTATTTTTGGCCGGGGGGGGGCATTTTAACAGTCGGCTACAGTCGCAATACAAGCAGCGTGTCCCCGCGAGGCTACGTCCCCAGCAGTACTCCCCAGCAGTCCAATTACAACACAGTCAGCACTAGCATGAATGGATATGGAAGTGGCGCCATGGCCAATCTAGGGGTCCCTGGCTCGCCTGGATTTCTTAATGGCTCCTCCGCTAACTCTCCCTACGGCAGTAAGTGTCTGTTTTTGTCACACGTCATCACGCAGATTCATATTCACTACAAAGTCGAGTGTGTGTATTGCTTGGATGTTCTGTGATGTGAGCTACTGGATAAAAGGAAGGGTGGCCCCAGAGGCTGGGCGTCCAAATGACAACCACAAATTGACCTAATACAGCCCTCCCCAACAACGCCATCTCATTGGCCACCAAAATAAAATCTGAATCACACGGGGCTGCTCAATTGGAAGAGAAAGCCCGACCCCCAAAGCGTTTGCCTGTTATCCAGAGTGGCCGAGCCGAAGCATGTCATGTCTTGTTTTGTGGCCCCTCCCTGTGCGAGGCGAGGCCCTCAGAGCTCTCGCTGTGGTGCTGCACCACAGCCCGCGCGTGCTGACCGTGTTTGCTTTGTTGCAGTAGTGCCGTCCAGCCCCACCATGGCAGCCTCTTCGGTCACCCTCCCTTCAAACTGTAGCAGCACACACGGCATTTTCTCATTCTCACCTGCCAATGTCATCTCCGCAGTGAAACAGAAGAGCGCTTTTGCGCCCGTGGTCCGGCCCCAAGCCTCACCTCCTCCTTCCTGCACCAGCGCCAATGGGAACGGACTGCAAGGTGAGGGCGTGTGGGTGGGTACTCAGGCCCCCAAGGCCCCTTCCCAAACGCCTAGCATGCCTGTGGCATTGCATGTGCTTTACTGGTCTGCATCCTCCTTCCTATCCCATAGCCACCTAAAGGCGTGGTCCTCAAGCCCTACCGAGTACCAGATTCTACCTCTAAGTTTTGTCCAGTAGCACTTCCATGCCCCAAGGGTGGAGCCTCACTGGAGGGGAAACAAGACTACAGCAAGAGCAGAGCCCCATGCAGCAGAGTACCCAGGCCTGGTCCTTCTCCGTGCAGGGCATGACCCTGCCTTTAATGTCAAGCTTGCAGCCTCTTTATTAAAGGGGCAGCAGAAACAGTCTCAGATGGATGGCAGGTCACTGTACCATCTACAGAGCCCATCCCAGACTCGGCTTGCTCCCTTTGCCATGCGGCAGAACCTTATTTACAACCTTACTACCACAACAACGAGTCTACATGGCTTTGCTCTCTCCTGGAAAGGCCTGAGCATCCTGACCCAGGGCAATTTGTGTATCATTACTGGGCAGCAAGACTGTTTGTAGTTGGGAATGAATGTTCTCTCTCAGTTTAGAGTGGGAAGGGTTAACCCAAGGGCAGAACTACCACTTGGACACAGCTGTCCACAGCTGGGGCCGTGTGGAAGAGATACCAAGCGCCTTTCCCAGCACTGAGGGCAGCTCATGCTGCATGTGACCTGCAATGAGTGTGGTGGTGAAGCCGTATGGGTGCCCCTAGGCCTTTGAAGGCTCACATGGGACTCCCTGTGATGTATTGGGCCACACTTACTTGACGTAAGTGGCCATCATCTGGCCTCTTTCAGACACCACCTTGGGTATGTGCTCCACTGGGTGAAAGTCAAACCCATTCTCCTTTAAACACATGAACCCATTCAACCAGTATTTACTGAGTGCCTACTATGTGCCAGGCTCTCTGCTGGGTGCCGAGGACGCAACCGTGGAGAAGACAAACTGGCCCTTTTGTGAAGTCGGTGGTATATTCCACTTTGATGAACTAATGCTCAAAAAAGGAACTGGAAAGGTATCAATGATTTGAACTCATTGTCTTCACAACACCTGTCTGTGCTGATGGGATGCCCAGGCCCCGGGCATTGCCAGCCAGCCTCAGAGCTGTCCTTGGGCACCAGGCCAGCGCTGCTTAGCAGGCAGGCAGTGAGGGCAGGTGTCTGTGGACATGCCCCAGCGTCGAGGCCGACTAGGTGGTACCACATAAGCAGTGTGTACACAGGGGCCTGCCAAACCATAAAGTTGTAACGGTGAGTCGGAGATAAATTAATATCGTTGAAATTAATGGACTGAGAAATTGAAGCTCACATCACTACATGAACAAATGTATTAATATGTTATACATAAATTAATGAGAACAGTCATTCTGACAAAAATTAAACAACACCAGAGTTAAAAGATTTTAAATTACATTCGGACCAGGAGTTCACTACAGAGCTGGCTGCACTTGGCGCTTCAGTGCCAAGCTTCTCTAATTTTAAAAAGAGAAAACAGTACTCTGAGGTGGTGTGGTGCCTCCATCACTCCATGGCCTTGAGATTCCAGAGCAGTTGGGCCGTGTGTGGCTTTGATCTGAGAGCCTGACTCACCCTTACGCTACAGAGCTGCTAGTAGGAGGTCAGAGCCTGGGCCCAAAGGCAGAGGGGGAAAGTGAGGCAAGTCTCCATTTTACTTAGGAAAAGCAAGGCCTGCAAGCCATGGCCAGGCTGGTTCCCATCTTTTCAGAGAGTGAGCTTCCTTTTCCTTTGAACAAAATGTGGAGACATATGCAAAGTAGAGAGCAAGCGTGCCCTCTTGCAGAGAAGGCCTTTACAGAGGGCTGCGGCACTAAAAAGGTTTGCTGGAATCATGCCACCAATGTGCCCTCACCCCAAGAAGTAGACTTCCCAACATACCTCTGCCACGAGCAAAGCTGACTATAAAGAGAGTTGAGCGAGTCTGGCTTCCCTGTGGCTCGTGGCACAGGAGGAGCAAGCTGGGCCCACAGGAGGGTTCGCGTGTGGGGTGGTCGGCATTAACTGCTGTCTCCTTCTCTTTTGCAGCTATGTCTGGGCTGGTAGTCCCGCCCATGTGAGGGACTCTGTTTACCTTCACAGCACCCAGCATCCAAGGACGGACTTCAGGGGACACATGTAGTGTGTTAAGACATGCTGATGGGAACGATACCTTCAAAACTAAAAATCAGCAACAGTTGAATGCTACAAAAGACATTTAAAGATTTTATTTAAACTGTTAAGAATCAACACGCGAACAAAGCCTACTTCTTCATGAACAATTCCATTTTATTGACTGAACTTTTCTCATATTTTCACATTTCTCAGTCCTGAAGATTAAGGAAAACAAAGCGACGCCTATTTTGTATAAAGTTTCTGATTCCGTCTTGGCTGTCTAGTGCGTGCTATCTGTGTGGGGAGAAGCTTCGTGAATATGCACCATTTTGATGCCCATGCAACACTTGAGGAAGAAAGCCTCGAAACATTTTTCTGTACTCATATTTAGATTCACAACGGTTGTGTATCTCTATAATGTGAAATATTTTTTTGTGGTGAAAAAAAGGGGGCCAAGGAGGTATGAGCCATTAACTGGAACAGAGGAGGATATGACTAGGTGAATTTGGGGTGGCAGGGAGGGAGGGAGGGTTTATCATTGCTTAACTTCATCTTAATGAAATGAAACTTTGTAACTTATTGTAGTTAGAAATCGTAACTTTGATATCGAATCTCTTGCCTTCAACAAGCACACTGACAGAGAAAAAAAAATATGCTACTGTCTGTTGGTTCCAATATTCTCCCACCTAGAGCTTCCTGTTAAAGCAAGTGCGATCAGCAACATTTTTTCAACTTTTGCGCACTGTAAACCTATTGCATTCTTAGGCTACTGTGAGGTCTATGTTTCTTGTACCTGAAATTGTCCTTTTGACTTCTAGACCCTTCTTCCCCGATGTGTTTTGTATGTGGTTATAAAATTGTAGACTTTTGTGATTTTGCCAAAGTTGTAGCTAAATATTTATACACTTGTCTTGAATTTTTTTCAGATCCACTTAAAATATTTAGAAAAACGAGTTTTGTTCCTTATGTATCTTATAAGGGATAAAATGCTCTTTCATGCGACACTTCCTTTCCCATGAACACTTGCAGTTGCTAAGGGACTTTATTTTGTAACATATCAATTATAAATATTGTATTTATCTTTGAAATTTTGTACATTGCTTTCCCCACCTTCTTTTTTCACGTCTGTATTGGTGTTTGATCCTGCCCAGTGTTGCAACACAGGGAAAAGAACAGACACCGAGAACTGTCTCTTTGATCTGTTTTGTTAAAATGAATCAATGTCCTTACATTTCATTTGTACCTAAACCATTTGCTATTGTTTAGACTTTCCATCCCTTTTTTTATGTTGAGGAAAAGTCAAATTCATTGTTTATTTTTATATTATTTTTAAGTTATCTGAACAAATCCTTTTGAAAAGAAAAGTTTGTTGTATAGTCAAAAGAAACGGTGCCAGCGGCCGTGACAAACCCTAGTAGGTTCTGTGCATGCGGAGCGGCCGTGAGGGGCCACACCGTCTGGGGCTGTGTCCTTATTTTATTTTTTATTTTTTAATTTTTTTTGTAGAATGTAAAAAGAAAAAGTCATTTTAGCTGCCACCTAGGACTTTGCCACATAGCTGAACTGTGTTTACTGGAAAAATTCAGAGGCCTAAAGTTTAAAATAAAATTTACTTCCGATGTTTTAATTACAAATGTTTGCCACATTAACTTCTCTGATGCCTTAAAAGTGAACTTCTTTCAAGAACTTCTGTGCTACTCTATCACAGGCTTATACCACAATTGTTAACATTTGGAGACTGATGATGAACACACACACACACACACACACACACACACACACACACACACCACACACCACATATATACATCACACACACATATAATACACAAACCCCAAAAGCACAAACTTTCATTCTATCAGTCACTCCTTCCTGGGTCTGTCTGCTGCTTTCTGACCACTCAAGCCCACCCTGGAGTTAGAAAGGTGTCAGGGGAACACTGCTCGTCTTTTTTTTTTTTTTTTTTTAATTTTAAATAATACCCTTTTTGTGGTCAGATCCAACAGCACTGTCTGTACGTTTTTTAACTGGAAAGACCTCCTTCAGACACTGTGCCTGTTAGTGCCAAACCCACCGTGAGACCAAGAGTCAGAATTAAGTTTTCTTTTTCCTTCACACCCATTGCTCTTGCAGACAGCACAAACTTTGTAAACAGCAGCAGAAGTCATATTTAAAACAAAAAGGAGGGAATTTTTAAAATCTAGACACACATACACAAAGAAACAATGTAGAGCTTAGAAAGTGTTCATTCACGGGACTCAATAAAACAAACAGAATGTCCCCAGTGGTCAGTGGGTCACACTCTGGCTTGGTGACTCCTGACAGGGCTTAACTCCATGGAACAGCCTGAGAAGTCACTTTGGAACTAAATTGCCTCGATTTATTTTGTGTAAGTAAGGGTTTGACCTAAAAAGAGCTCACGTGCACATTAGCAAGTATCCTCATGCCCGCACCCGGTTTGTGTTTTAGATCGACTAGTCGACGCCCTCATTGCTTCATTGTGTCAAAAACCGAGAGCTTCACTAAATGGTAGACTTTGCTGTCAGAGACCCTACAATAAGATTGTTTTATCTGTACATTTTTTCAGATATTTAACTGTATAAAAATGTTCATTTTACACAATATTTAATTAAAGTATTTCTTGTCTGTGAATTTCACTTTGGGTAATTTTATCTGTTTGACTATTAAAATGACTGACAAATGAACTGGGGATTTCATTTCCACATCCCGGGCTCCAGAGCTGGGGCTCCCCAAGATCCAAATGATTTCAAAGAACCTTTCAGAGATTTCCACCCTCAATCAGCACAGTTCCTGAGGTGGCTGTGATGTCACAGGTACCATCAGAACACTGGATGCCCACACACTCAGGCCTGAACTGTTTCTGTCACAACCACCTGGGCCACAGAAACACCAGGGTTTCCTGTAAAGCATCCTTTGGTTGGGCTTGGTAATCAGCTTCTGAATTGGATGGCCGGACAGCACCCACCCGCTCTGGCTCTTGATCCTGAGGTTGGGCTTGGTAAATCAGCTTCTGAATTGGATGGCCGGACAGCACCCACCCGCTCTGGCTCTCCCAACACTCACTTGTCCCTGCTACCTGCATCCCTATGTCCCTTTTTGCCAAGAAGCAGGTCAGGAGAGCCTATCCAGGCTGCGGGCAGACACCATGAACATGGGAGCCATGCTGATGGCTTGGCACGGTTCCAGTACTGGTACTCATGACACAAAGGAGTTTTGCACTGGCCCATTGAGAATATACATAGATGGAGGCCACGGTTGGACCCCAGCGAGGTCAGCCATCAGCACCAGTCCTACTTTACACGGCTCCTGCCTGTCTCCCCTACCCGATTCTGTTTCTCTCAGCACTTTTCCATTTTCTCCACAATGAAAGGCGGGCTTTACATGTTTTGGCTTGCAGTCTGTCACACATTCACAGAAGTGTGATCTAAATTAGTACTCACAAATGTCATCTTAATTACTTGTTCTGCTGAGCGAAACAGGAAACAATTATTCAAAACATAAAGAAACTTGTGACTACCTTTCCCTCCTGTCAGTGCTGATCCTTTGCCGGCTGGCCTTAAAGAGACAGGAAAGAAATAGGTTCCTGTAGCACAAAGCCCACTTAGGCCTTCCCAAGTTACCAGGGTTGAGGAACCTCATTCCTCCGAGCTGGGACCAGGAACTCTGCTCAGGTCTTTGGAGCTAGTGTGCCAGGTTCTGTTGACCTGGGCAGAGAGATGTTCAAATGCTTGGCTTTCAAACCAGAAGCAAGAACCAATGCTCTCAATGCCGAGTATTGTCAGGCCTCCCTTTAAGGTCTTTCAAGCTTTTAAAGATTATTCAAAGCACTTGAAATGGGCTTCAATCTAATGCCTCATTTCATTGCATTAAACAGCCTAGTTAATAAAGAATCAATATATTCAAAGGGCAAGGTTATCTTTTGTCTATAAGGGGTGGTGTCGTGCTGAACCTTTTATAGTTCAAATGCTGAAAAAGACCTCGTGAAATCCATACTCATCAAGTGGGTCAACGAGAGCAATAAAGAGGCCCCTGAAAGGAAAGAAAGGCAGCTCCGCTTTAAAACAACTCTGGCCCTTATCTCCCCTGCTCGGAACACCCAAAGAAGTCCTCAGAAAATGTCAATTTCTCATCAAGACAAGAGGCCACGATGATCATTTTCTCAGAGAATACATACAATTAGGAGAATTCAGAGAGGCATGGCGTTGATTCCTGGCTTATTCTGGCCCCACGAGCTTGGAGCGCCCTCCCCGAAGATAAAAAGGACTGTTGATAACTGAAGTGTCAATATGCCGAAGAGCGAGTTTTGAATGTGAGTCCTTGTGCTTTGAGCCCGCCTGGGCCGATCCCAGGCCCTGATAACAGCACAGCTGCCAGCAGACACCACGGGCTGGCCCTTACAATTAATGCCATGAATAAATCACACAAAAGAGTTGGGATGCTTTATACTGGGTGAGACAATCCCCTGTTTTACCCTTCAAGGATTCTTTTTATGTTGGAATAAGGTTGCTTTTAATGAAATTTAAACTCATCAGAGGAAATCAAAAACCTCCAATCAGATTACAAATTGATTTTTTGGTCATTTGTCATGTCCCAGCATAGAGCTGCAGGTTTCACAGGGAGCCAGTTGCCGATGTGGGTTGGGAGTAAGGGTGGAGCAGCTCCCAACCTCAGTGGCTCTATACCCTACCCCTGTCCTGGAGATAGATGCGAGGAGGGGAGACTCTTAGTAGAGCAGAAGGTGACAGTGAACCCTGTGTAGATTTATACACGGTTCCACTAGTCCCCACAAACCAGACCCCCAACCAGAATTGGGACCAAGCAGTACTTTTTTTTATTAAAGTTTTTTTTTTTTAATTTTACATACCAATCCCAGTTCCCCCTCCCTCCCCTTCTCCCCCCACCACACTTCTCCCCTTCCCATCCCCTATCAACTCCTCAGAGTGAGTAAGGCCTTCCTTGGGGGGTGGTCAACAAAGTTGAGGCAGGACCCAGTCTTTCCCCTGTATCAGGGCAGAGCAAGTTATCCTACCATAAGGAATGGGCACCAAAAAGCCAGTTCATGTACCCAAGTTAGGTCCTGGTCCCACTACCAGTCTCCCGCAACAGATCAAGCTACATAACTTTCACCCACATTCAGAGGGCCTAGTTTGGGACCAAGCAGTTCTGAATCCACCCATCACTAAATGACCTGGGGGTAGAGGAGGTCATCCTTGGCAGGACTCAGTGGCCCCTAAGTCTAGTTTGACTTTAAAGCTCTATGGACAGCCTATATCTTCAAACCACCAATGGCTGCTTTGTATCTCAGAGGCTTGCAAAACAACACCTTTGGGGTCATTCAGTGCTTCTGAAGCACTCTGTGTGAGCCTGAGCTCCATGTCTGGTGTATGACATTCTAGGCTCAATCCCCAGCACCTCAAAACAAAGAGATAAAGATAAAACAAGGTTAGGTGACTTGCCTGGGGGCCAAGGCTAGATGCCAAATGCAGTC